CTAGAGTCTCGGGACCAGAGCGAGCACTGTACGCCAAGGGGTGAAAAGTTTCACCGTCTTCACCACATATATCTGCGAGAAGGGATGGAGCTCTTGGCTCAGTTGAGCGATCATCGGACTATGTTTCCAGAGCTAGAAGAATTGAGTCCGGAGTGTGACATCGACAAAGCTGACGTTGGCGTTCCAGGCGTCACGACCCCAGAGATGAAGGAAAAGATGCGAAAGATCTTGAATTATCATCGTCGTATCATTTTAGGCAATGGCAATGCCGCACCGGCCCCAGCTCGTGGAGTCGTTTGTGACTTAGATGTAGGTGATGCGATGCCGATAGCACTGCGTGCTCGACAGATCGCCTCCAGATATCTGGTGAAAGTTTACGAACTCCTGATTAAGCTCCTAGAGACTGGACCCATTGAACATTTTGAATCGGAGTGGTCATCCCCGATCGTGATCGTTTTGAAGAAGAATGGAGAAGATATCAGACTGTGTGTTGATTATAGGCTGGTTAACCAGTTGATCAAGCTACCGCGATACCCCTACCTCTGATTGACGACTTGCTGACTGATTTTAATGCTGCGGCATGGTTCATGAGTCTAGATACGGCGAGCGGTTTCTGGGCGATCCAGATGACAGAGCGGGCGAAGTTGGTTGCGGCCTTTGTCGGTCCATTCGGACATTTCCAGTGGATCCTGATGCCTTTTGAACTCAAGAATGCACCGTTAGTGTATCAGAGTGTGATCAATAACTGTCTCTGGGGATTCGTGCAGCTCCCACCTGAGGAAGAGGCTAAGGTCGACCGAGATGTCCTGGAATTTCTGGAGTTGACCGTCCCAGACACAGGACCGACGATAGAAGATCCTCAAGGCGAAGGTGGTTTCAGACTTCCAGATTTGATGAAGGAGGCGACTGCATTCAGGCGAAACATTCCGACCCCGACGCAGATGGGACCGGTTCTGGGACGAAGCTCTTACATAGACGACATAGCTCACGGGGCGCCTACCTGGGACAAACTTTGTGAAGACCTGAATACTCTGCAATTATGGCTCCGATACTGGAATTTCTCGGTTAGTCTCCCGAAAAGCGAGTTCGGTAAACAAGCTATACCGTATCTATCTCACGAATTCTGTGCGAAGGTATCTGGGCTACCCCGAAGATTGCCAAGAGTGTTCAGGACCTACCTTTCCCATCGACTCTTAAGGACGTTCAATCGTTCTTAGGAAGCCTGAATTACTACAACAAGTTTATCGAGGACTTATCGGTCGTCGCGGCTGTGCTTTACGAGCTGAATGAGGATCGCATTCGCGCCGGACATGATTTGGATAGAGCCAAGGAAGCGTTCGAGATTCTAAAACGTAAGATTACATCGACGCCGCTGCTGCGCCATCCAGATTGTACCAAGCCGTTTGTCATCATCCCACATGCAAACCCCTGGGCGGCTTGTGCCGTCCTGGGACAGGAACATGAGGGGATCATCCGATCAGTGCGCTTGACAGGGCAAGTTTTGAGCGAGCCCGAACTCAGATACCACATCGCAAAAAGGAGGTGTTGGCGATCCGGCGAGTCCTAGAGCAGTTCAGCCCGTTCATCTACGGTTCAGAGACACCGATCGAAATCTATACTCGGTACTCGGTCCTGAAGTGGTTACTGAGGTCAAATTCCACCGACGGCCGTCACCTAAAGTGGAGTCTAGAATTGTCGAAGTGGACTCTGGAGCTACGTCGTGTGCAGCGCGATGAAGATGGATTGGCTGCCATCCTCGGTGCAGGTATTACCCCCAGGGAGCATTTAGACGAAGTCGCTGAAAACCTGATCCCGGTTAAGGGGCGAATCAAAGCACCTCCGCCAATCAGTGTAGAGATGCTGGATTCAGACTTCGAAGGATATGTTCTGAGCTTCGATGGCGCAGCCAAGGTCTCCACTAGACAGGGAAGTTGTGGATGTATTTTGTGGCGTTTACCTGGCGGGCATGTCCTGAGCGCCCACGGATTCCCTCTGGATGATGTGACTTGGAACGATGCAGAGTATCATGGGTTGATCAAAGGTTTGGAGCTAGTCGTCGACCGCGGTTTCAGAGATGTGGTTGTGGTCGGCGATTCCAGAATCGTAATCCAACAAGCGCAAGGGTTTGATAGGTTGCCACCAGCCTAATCGGCAACGTCGATTTGCTGAGTATGAAGCCTTGAAAGTGAAATTTGGTTCAGTACGGTTTGTCCACGTCAAACGTGACTACAACCAGGCAGCAGACTACTTAACGACGAAGACATTGGCACTCGGGAAAGCATGTGTGGTAAAAGATGAGGATGAACTGATGCATCTAAAGTTTGTCTCCAGGATCCTGGAAAAGATTATGAAAACTCCGGAAACCTCGGAATGAAAGGACGACGCAAGTCAGAGTCCGAAGAGCGATCATCCAAATGACCTCGTTTCAGACCCTATTCCAAACGCGTCTGAGACAGTAGCACCCGTAATAATGGTTACAACCCGAAGTCGTTCCAGACAGATTGCCCAAGTGGAGGACCCGAGCCGACCACTTGACTATCGAGACGAACGTTGGAGACGTATTAAAGTCCATCAGGATGAGGGTCCAGAGTTAAAAAGGCTCAAGGATTATATGAAAGGTGACCTGTTGAACTATACGCGGAAGGAAGTCAAGAAAATCGCGAAGGGTTCAGACCGATATGTTTTAGACTCAAGAGACGTCCTTTATCGTTTGACTGCACCTACCCCGGAACGGCCTAGGGACAAGCGCTCTGAACTTCGCTTGGTTGTACCAGAAGACCAAAGATCCTACACCACGCTCACGAGGATTTCCAGATTGGCCATCAAGGCATCACCCGGACATATGAGCGTCTGCGTTCAGATTTTTTCTGGACTGGGATGTTTCAAGACGTCGAAATGTTTGTCAAGGAATGTACGGATCGCGCGTCCGCTAAGGGGTGACCTCCGAATCCAGGACCCTCTCCCGAGAAAAAATGAACCGACTGGTCCATTCGAAGTAGTGTCCATGGATTTCGTCACACACCTTCCGAAGTCGGAACGCGGGAATGCCTTCCTACTTTTGTTTCAGGATATGTTCACGGGCGACGTTATGTGTAAACCCATGAGCAGTATTACCGCTCAAGACTGTGCTGAAGCCTATGAAGAGGTTGTGTTCAGGAACTACGGCGCAAGCTCTGAAATCCGTCATGTCAGAGATCCCAGGTTCATGAGTCGGGTGTTCCGTCGCTTCAGCGAGATGATGGGTATCCAGCAGAACGCAACGCTCGCGTATCGCCCTCAGGCCAATGATCAGCAGAAACGATCGAGTCAGACAATTATGCACAGTATCAGAGCGTATGTTGAAGAGCCCGACCAAACCGACTGGGACGACCATGCAGAAAAGCTCATGCATGCTATAAATGCCTCCTTCGATGCAACTAGATTGGATACGCCGTTCTACCTGCTACACGGGTTTGATTGTCGGAGTACTATAGCTGGGCCCAAAACCGACGGACGTCGCAGAACGTACCGCGTACGAATGGCGTCAAAAATTGCAACGATACTGCAGCTATGCCCACGCCTGTGCGGAAGAGCTCCAGAAGAGAGCCAAGCGTACGAGATCCGCGGTTCAGACTCAGAAGTGGAAGGTGCTGTCGGATCACCTCAAGTCTGGTTTCGAAGTAGGTGACTCGGTCTGGTTATATATCCCGAAGGTCCTGCCAGGTCTGAGTCGAAAATTGGCCCATTGTGGCACGGACCATTCAGGATTGAACATGATCGGGACGATTTCAAGGTGAATTGAAGGTTCAGGGCACAGGCTATCGTGTAGAACCATGGGTTCACATTAGTCGTCAAAAACCACGCGCCTTGTTTCCGAAACGGACGTCTTTAAGGATTGACGTTTTAGAGGAGGAGGATTTTGATGCGGCCTTATTGCTGGAGGATAGTTGGGAACCGGATTCGGTGCATCAGGAGTATGAAGTGGAAGAAATTGTGGATTTAAGATGGACCAAGCGCACCCGAAATGCGAAACGTATCCGCGAATATCTCATTAAGTGGAAAGGATACCACGAACTTCAATGGTTGCCCGTCTCACAATTGAACTGTGGCTCCCTTCTGTATAAGTTCAACCAGCCAGCACGTGCAAACACTCGTTTCGCAGCCATGCAGTCTGGGAACAATGACTACGCGGAGCTGTAGGCTCCGATCCTGAGAAGTTGAGTATGGTTCCAACCATTATGTGCCTCGTTTCAGCGAAGTCGAGCGTTATTAGAGTGACTGAGTGGTCGCGCGCGAATACCTGGCTAAAGCAATGTGGTTCCAGAGCTCAGTATGAGTGATGCGTATGGAATGGAGATTTGTTGGGCATTCTGCCCCGCGTTAATGTGACTTTGACGAGAATGGAGCAAGGTGAGACATTAGTATGTGATTATTGAATTAGATGGATATGCTATTATATGCATGAACACTGAAGGCCGAGTCTGAAGTGCACTAAGTGGCCTTGAGTTAGATACTCAGTCGGAGTTGGAGCCTGCTGATGCGGCATCCTGGACGAGACGGAGCTGGTATAATTCTTTTGTAGTCCTTGGCTTCGAAGTGGAGGGAGGTCCTGGAATTGGCAGCAGGTTTCTGGCTCGCTCGATCTTCAGGAGCTGGCGTTTGGAGACGAATGCCTCTGGTACGTGCTCCAGACGCACAGTTTCACTCGCAGCATCTTCCCAGAGTGTACGCGCAGGTTCTCGCTCGTCCAGCTCTAGGAGCTCTGCGCGCAAGTCAGCAACCCCAGGCACCCCGTACTGCCTTAGTTCAGCCCTTGAAGATCCAGTAGCATATAGTATTGGGAAGAATCCACAAACCAGGCTCGTACCAGAGTGCCTTGGGGAACTTGTCAATCTTCTCCAAACGTTGGACTAGGATAAGGAAGTTCCGGACCAGAGTCTCCCGACACTTTCGACGTCACAGATGGAGCTCCTTCGCTCGATCATCCTCCATGGAAATCGTGAACCAGTGTAGTATGTACCACCAACCTTCAGCATGTTCTTCCATGGACTCCAAGTATTCTCTCATCCCACGCAAGACTCCTTTGCTCAGATCACGAACGCGGTGGAAGTAGAACTCTTTGGAACGGTATTCGAACATTTGGACCCAGGGGAGTACAAAGTCGAGGACCTTCGATTCCCACGCGCTTGGGTCTGAGCCTGAATCGTATGCACCTGCCTCAGAGGAGTTGCGCTTTGACGTGGTCCCACGGTGCCCTTTAGTTCCAGACTTCTTCACTCGAACGACGGCCAAGAACTCACCCCATGCCTCCATGGACCAACGATCCTTGAGACACTTGGTCTCTTGCTTGTGTGGCTCGTAATCTGGGAAGCTGAGGGTCTGGACGTTGTCGGAGAACTTCATCTTGATTCCGAAGATTCGAAAGGTGTTGGAAACGTCCCGGTCGCAGACCTCATGATCAGCAGCTCGTCTTCACTCAGGGACTGAAAGTCGCGAGTGGCCAAGTCTGTGGGGTGACGCACCCCTTGGGCGTGACCGGTGTGCATCTTGATTCTCTTGATGACCTTGGTGTCTGGAGTTCTAGATGTCGCTCTGGATTTCTTACTAGAGGTCGGTGAGGAGCGTCGCGTTCCAGAACTCGCTTGACTGGTGGTTTTAGGACCACTAGCATTAGCGTTTGTAGGTACCTCGTCTGCGCCATCATCAAGATCTTCAGTCCCATCTCGAATCTCCAAAGCATTGTCAGCCTCCTCCGCACCCGGTTTCAGAGAAAAAGAAGGGTCCTGAGTCTCGTCATCTGACGACTCGGAGAGAGCGCCGTTGATCATTTCAACCTCCGCGGCCACATCTTTAAGTTTCTGGAGTTTCCGATCGCACTTGTCCAGCGAAGGTCATTCCTCCAGCCCGCGACCATCCGCGATTCGGATCCCGGTCCAGATTCTCTCTGCATCCAGATAATTTGCTCAGGCAAATATTTGCTCCAGGGCGTAAAATCCAAGGTTCCCCCATCCATCATCTGAGCCAATATCAGCTGCACCATATATCCAGGCAGAAGGTGGTGGATTGGTTCGTCCCCACGCAACTGTTTCAGGGCTTCCTCGTATGTGAGGCCTGTGAGCATCAACATACGGACGTCTTGCCGAAGGACGTCTCAGAGTAGACCATCCGGGACTCGCTTCTGTGCGTCGGCCTCCATCGCTGAGTCCAAGTCTGTGTCAGGACCGCAAGGGAGATCGTCTGGGGGACAGTGCTCCTTGGGGCGCATCTGCCTCTCCTCCGT